AAGAGAATTTTAACCCCAGAACACCGACATTTGTCTTACCAAGAACGTTGCCGGCTTACAGGCCTCGATCCTTTATGGTTCCGTAGATTACAAAAGGGACTATTTTTGCTATTTAAACTCTTATATAATCACACATTTAACCTGCTCACCTCTTTAAGACATCATATCCACCCACGACGTAACAGTCACCGTGAGGTCTTCTTATTTCTGCCTCTGACACGTACTGTTAAATATCGTCGGTTCTTTTCTGTAAATGCAATTGCTATTTGGAATAAACTACCCATGAGTGTGAAAACTCTGCAAAATTTTTCTTTATTTAAGAGAACTATTACTCGATTTTTGCATTCAGAAAAGCTCCCACAAATTTTGGGTGCTGAATCTACTGATCGACTGTACCGTAGCGATGGCGTTTGTGGTCTCTGAACACTATGGCCGGTCTCACCAGCTGTTCCTCAACGCCTCTACTTTGACTATCCCCAACTTCATGAAAGGAATTTGACGTCCGATGATCTCCGATACCGTGCAACCTCCCCCCTTCTTGACGGTCGATATTCTCCCACCGCCGGCAGTTTTTTCTCCTGAGCCCTCCAAACCACAAAAACCACCATCAACTATATTTTTTATCCCTTAAGCTCAGGAGTTTTTTTTCACTGCTGGTCGGATTTGTGTTTAATCGCTTCCCTTGACAATGCCTGTAAACTGGCATTAAATTAAAATTTATTTATTTATTTATTTATTTGCCCATGTTTCTGTAATGCAAATTACATCGGGAATATATATTTCAACAAAAGTTCTAAGTTGGGATATTTTGTTGACAGTCGATCTGGAATTTATAAGAGCTATCTGTAGGATGTCGGATATGGAAGAGGTGGGCGGTGGTGAAAAAAAAGGAGTTCTGGGGGTACTTTGAGTGAGCGATGGACTAAATGGAGGTAGGTGTGTGGTTCTTGGAGGATATGGTGATGCGTATGGCGTAGTGTGAGTGCATGGGCTAGTGTGTATGGACTGAGGGTACATATGGGGAGGTGCGTTAACAAGGTGTAATTGTACCTAAATGGAGTTTCAGTTGGGGATCTGGGCGTATCATACTCCAAGAGTCTCCATCTCTCTGAGCACTGTGCCTTGATAGTCTCCAAAGCACGTAGAATGACCGGGTTTATCCCCCGAAACTTTAAAACTAGGGACATTAGAATGCATCTCTTCAACTTGTACGTTAGACCTGGCCTAGAATACTGTTCGTTTTCATTTAGTTTCATGCGTGCTACGGAACGGAAGAAAATAGATCCGTTCAACACTTTTTTACCAAGAGAATTTTAACCCCGGAACACTGACATTTGTCTTACTAGGAACGTTGCCGGCTTACAAACCTTGAACCTTTATGGTTCTCTAGATTACAAAAAGGGCTATTTTTGCTATTTAAGCTCTTATGTAATCACACATCTCACCCACTCAGCTCTTTAAGACATCAGGTCCACCCCCGACGTAACAGTCACTGTGAGGTCATTTTATTCCTTCTTCTGGCACGTAGTGTTACATATCGGCGGTTCTTTTCTGTAAATGCAATTGTTATTTGGAATAAACTACCCATGAGTGTGAAAACGCTGCAAAATTATCCTTTATTTAAGAGAAATATTACTCGATTTTTGCATTCAGAAAAGCTCCCAGAAATTTTGGGTGCTGAATCCACCGATCGACTGTACCGTAGCGATGGCGTTTGTGGTCTCTGAAAGCTATGGCCGGTCTCACCGTGGACAATTTCGTTGACCAACAGCGACAGCTGCTCTTCAGCGGTTCTATTTTGACTCCACAACCTCATGAAAGGAATTGGCGTCTGATAATGCCCGATATCGTGCAACCCCTCCCTTCTTGACGGTCGAGAGTTTGTGAAAAGCTCTCAAAAATTTTTAGTGCTAAAACCTCTGATCGACTCCAACGTAGCACAGGCGTTTTTGGTGGCTGAACACTATGGCCGGTCTCACCAGGGACAATTTCTTTGGCCAACAGCGACAGCTGTTCTTCGACGCTTCTGTTTGAACTAGCCCCAACTTCGTGATAGAAATTGGCGACTGATAATATCCGATACCATGCAATCCCTCCCTTCTTGTCCGTCGAAAGTTTGCAGCGGGCAGTTTTTTCCCTTAAACCCTCCAAAGCATGAAAACCACCATCAGTTATATTTTATTTCTTTTCCACCGCTGTTTTTTCACTGCTGACCGGATTTGTGTTTAACGCTTCCCTGACAGTGCCTGTAAACTGCCATTAAATATTATTATTATTATTATTATTATTATGAGCAATTCAAAACTAGTGTTTCTAAAGATATAATTGAGGGTTACCACTTGATCTACCACTTAATTCCAAGAGGACCCTCCTCGAAGTCAAGAACCTGAGTGTTCGGGAATGAGACCGTTAACAGTGCCTTTATGTTTTCCCTTATAAGGTTTTTCTTAATTTCGAATTGAACACTAGTAACGTAGGCGATGACCTTATTTCTTGTGGAAGATTATTTCAAAGTTAGGCATATTTGGAAGCAAAGAAGAGGGAGCGTTTAGATGTACTGCAAGTGGGCGGCGGAGAAATTATCATGGGGGAGTTGCGCGTGGCATAAAACCGATCTCTCGGAATGAGAGTGTGAATGAGCGGAAGACTGGAGCTAGAGTTGATGCGAAAAAGGAAGCAAAGGCCAGCTTCCAGTCTTCTAACCCACAAACACTTAATGTTCGCCAGCTGACATCTCCGAGTATAAGAAATACCAGACGAATCTTTCTAAATTTTCCTAATTGACCGCGACTGACTGTCTGCGTGGTCATATCTTCAAACTGCAGGGGAAGCTGACTCATTCGGTCGTTCGGAATGAACGCCTTCTCTCACGGACTCATTGGGGCACGGAACGGGTTCCCTGATGCTGTGGTTCCTTCCGAAACTGTCGAATTCTTTAAGTGTAGACTGAATGCTCTTTTGCTGAGTAACTACTGTACATATAATCATTGTTGTAGCGGCGGCAGTTTGCGCCTGTCTTATTTTACCGTTAACTTTTGAATTTCCGAAATGTCTGATGTAATTATTGACTCTATTTCCGTTTACCGATTTGAATAGTGAGCTCAAGGGCGAAAGCCTCATTCCCTTCATAAACTGACTTAAAACTGACTTAAACTGAATATTGTACATATTGTGCATATTGCACAGATTTTGTTTACCTGTCTAAATTTCATCTGAAGATTTAGTTCTACTTGCTGTGTAGGGGCCCAATGGGTCTTTAATAAAATTATTTTATTTGTTCATTTGTTTTACATTTATTTCCTTCCGGAAATAAAGCTAAGACTTTATGAAATGTTCGCTCTTCCTGTCCATGAGTATTGCTGCCCTTTCTTTAGTAAAGTGAACGTCTGGGACCTGATAAGATCGGAACTGTTAAGAGATTTTTCACTCAAAAACTCTCCTCTCATGTTGCTTCCCGTATTTCTTGTATTGACAGATGTCAGTTGGCGAACATTACGTTTTCATGGATTAGAAGGCTCGAAGCTGGCCTTCGTTTCCTGTTTCGCTTCAACTCCATCTCTTATTTTCCCCACATAGACATTCTCACTTTTAGGTCGGCCTTATACCTCCATGATGATTCTGCCGCTTCCTTGCTTTACACCCCAATGCACTCTTTTTACATCCAAATATTCCTTCTTTTGGAATAATCTTCCATCAGATCTTAGGTCATTGCCAAGGCCATCGGTATTCGAATCGAACTTTATCTTCTGTCCGTCATCCGTTATCATTTGCCAGGCAGATACAGAACGAGCCCCTTGCATAAAAGGATACGCCGAAATACTTGGTCATTTATATATACTCTGTCTCATCCCATTTGATGAACTTGAAGGGAGCACAACGGAAAAGGGCATTATCGCAGAGCTCGAATTCAGCAATCAAGCAGGAAAACTCACACGGAAAGAGACATTCTGAAAGCACGTTGGTTCCGTAGTAGACGAGCGAGCACCGATAAAGTTCGAGGAATGCTCTTTCCGTTGTGTCCTGAGGCTCAGTTCAAGAGCCCTCGGAGGCAGTACCATATCCACTAGAAATATATGCTGAGGGAGCGATACCGACAAAAAAAGGAAGACTGTGATGGCAATTTCTGGTTCATTGGCGGTCGCTAACCAGACCCACCCAACAAGATCCGATGTTTAAACCCTCATAATTTAGTCACCGAACGTTAGTATAGTTGAGCTACTTTACTTTAGGCATGTCACCCAAACCCTCACTATTCCAGTAAATTAAACAAATCTACCTGTTTTTTCCTTTCTGCAAACTCAGTTTTTATATCACGATTTTCTGGGAGCACGTCATGCTGGGGTTTACGCTAGACCAGCATTATCGATCAGTTGGATCCAAATAATCCCAACGATCAATACTTATTTCAAACGCTCGGACATCAGACACTGCAGAAGCTTCTGTGAGAGGTAAACCCTTTAGCATTACCAGGACATAAGGTTTTTGTGTTTTATTGCCTGGATACTTTTACGCCTTTGACCTTTACCACTCATCGGCCCTTTGTTTTACTGTACACGCTAGTAAGAGCGTTTGCTGACGGCGGGTTCCCTAAGTTTGTAACGACTATAGCGACGCGCCTAGTTATCGCTCCTCCCTCTCAACTGTAGGCGTCGTGATGGCTTTCCAGCAAGATATTGGGAAACCATGCCTCACCTGTGGGACTGAATGCTCTGGATTTTCTTTACATGCTTGGAGGTAAGAAGATTTTTGTTACATAAAGCAAAAAGGGCTACCTGCACTGGATGCCATTGCTCTTATGACAAGCACGACGTTACGAATTTCTCGCATGAATCGTTTATAAAAGAATTGGAGTTGAGTGACACAACTTTACTGGCCTCATATGAGGTGGCTGAAAACACAGCTGCAGAAAATGGCCTGACATGGCTCCCGGTGGGCCTGAACTCGTCTGAGGTGGGTCCATACACATTGGATGCTTCAAACTTGTGTAGCTTATATCATTTCATTAACACATCATTGTTTAATTTTACACATTTCCGCCGAGGGCTTAGATATGTTTAGTATGTTGGGTATGCGTGGATAGCAAGGTGGTTGAAGTTAGCAGTTTCGAAGTGCGTTAAGGAGTGCCTGTATTTCTTGAAACTTTAACTTTAACGACGAGAGCCAAAGGCTCAGCAACGTAAATGCTCGTGCGAGTCTGCTTATAAATGCGTTAACATAGTTCTGTTATTTGGAACGATCGCAAATTACATTCACGACAGCAGTTGACTTAAATCCTCTAATGCCTAGCAGCCACGAAAGTCGTCCAGTGAGTGCTAAGAGCAGCCAGAAGGGTCAAGTCATTATTGCATGTTTGGATCTTGGTCCACGGATCAGTTTTCCACTGCAAGTTCTCCGGCGACTGTTATGAAGAAGACTTAAATGTAATCTTTTCCCGTCATCTCGTGCAGTGTTGAATATGGACAGGGTTTCGCCTATGTTAGACGCTCATTTTCATGCAGCTCACATGAACAAACATCCTCAAGGTCTATGCTCACTTGGGCCGGACTCCGGTCTGTATGCCGGTGCAGTGATGTACTTCGGTAACACTTCTTTGTGTTCGCGCCCACGTTTTATCCGGAGTATGCATACACGAATTTCGAAATGACTGTTTACATTCTCCCATCAAGCGTCGTGGCGTTTAGCGACCCAAGTTGTATCATTCATCGGCGTTTACTTGACTCAAGCCTTTCTGCTTTCTGGTTACTAACTCGAAATATTCACAAGTCAGCAGACATGTCGCCCAGCTCCCAACTTACAGGCTAATTGTCCATCTCCAACATTCTGTGTTTCGTAGCCTAGCGTCTCAGACGTTAACACTCAGCATGTTTGACGCGGACCTATATCCTGTGTTCAGGGCGCCTGCGAAATTATCCTATTTTTCGTCTTGTCCCTCTAATTTTGGAAGTAGTTCTACTTATATATTTGCATAATTGTCTGAAAGCATGGAACATTTTCTGGTCTTTTATCCTCGCTGGTGTTTACGGCCACACTTCCTCTACCTGGCTACCTGAATAATTTGTACGCGCTCCAGTTGTTCGTAGTCCTTAAGCTCTGCCAGAAGCAATTACTTTTATGTTGACATTCGACGGTACCACATATGCTTGCACCTTTTGTCAGGCGTCCCCACCTTGTTTTTATGACGCACTCAGACTGAAGCACTGTCGTAGGGTTGGTGTGACAGGAATGTTGATGAGCTATAAATTGCCTTGTAAAACCGCTTTGGAGTAGGTCTGCAGATGCTGTTTCATCATGATAGCTGTTCAGCTGCACTCTTTGGCGCAGATCTGGGTAGAAGACCACTCAGACCGGAGCGTCACGATCCTTGTGCCTGTCCCTAAGACCACGGATCGCTGCTCAAGAATTACTTTGGGCTCGATCTCAACATTACCTCTCAAGTCTTCGTCTTCCTTAATCGCCCCAGCTTGCGTAATGAATCGCCGTGAAGAAAACGTTAGTTTGATCTTCGTCGCGGGCGGGCTGTGTAGATCAGCACCTCTAATTTCTGCAACCCTTCTAATGCCGCGCTCTGTACCTAGTGCACGCTTGGGGTACTTTCCCCTTTTTACTGCTCATGGGAATTCCCCATAACCAGCCATGCTGTAGGGTTGCATTTTACGAGACCTTTTAGGCTAAGTCAAGCCCACCTACAAGTGCATCCTAACCAGTTATTAGAAAGGGTCGGAATTCGCCTGAATAATAAAAAGGTTGATTTATTTGATGTCACTAGTTTTTTTTATTAGACTGTGTTTTGTAAACGCAGCTACGTGAGTGTTCCTTTGACAAGTGATAGTTGATAATCCGGACGTTGCAGCACGTTGTGACCGGTTTGTTACTAATATTAACTATGCAAATTACGTTGTAGTGCCAGCGAGCCCCCTCGCATACGTGAAACGCTCTGGGCCCGAATAGGCATAAATGTAATTGGACACGCTGAGGCCTCAGCCGATCGCCTCGGATCTCTCATCATGAGTCTGTTATGACAGACGTTGGAACTTTTGTGGCAGTAGGCTGTCTTAGATGACTTGGAAGAAATTCCTTGCCACACAACCAAAGTCACGAAACAGTTTCTCCATTTAACCCGGAACTGAGTCTGACGAGCTACACGTCGATTTAACCAATTAAAATCGTGGGTTAAACTGGCAAAAATAGACGCGGGTCGCACCTCTGGACTCCACATTCTACAGTTTCCATAGCTTTCCAAAAGTTTCAAACAAACCGGTGACTGCCTCCAAGCGCTGCCGTCTAACATGCTAGTTTTTGAGTTAACACAACAAGTAGTAAGCAAATAGAGAAGTACTTATTGAGTCGTATCTGCTCTCGACTACCTGATTAAACAGTGTAGCTCCGTTAGTCTTTTACTCGCGGCTTTTTAAACGTTGACTTTTAACCGAAATAGTTCAGTTGTAGACAAGGCTGTGCATTCATAGTTAGGTAGCTACCACTACCTATCTCTGTGCCTTCCAGGCGATATTCTTGTTTGATTGTTTACGTAACACCGAGACTGGTACCTACAAAAACGTCACCTGTAACATTTTTAGACCTGTTTTGCCATCACATACGAAAGTCATATACTGAAACTATAATTTTGAAGTGCACAAGCAGCCTGCTGGCTTCGCTCCACTAAGAATGGCGCTACCTTTGGCAATATGCTAACTGGTTACGTCATCCATTGGTTTCGAATGTGTCATCAAGGCAGACTTCTGTTACTGTTGCCTGAATTGGTGTTATGCTAATTTTCCCCTTAGGCGCACCAGGATTTTCAGCTTGGGTCTTGGATAGCAGGCGGGTATTTTCTAAGTGACGTAGTTTGTTAATTCACCGATGGCGACTGCTACAGTTCTCCATGTCGTACTGTACTGTCATTCTCGTGAATTACTGTTGCGCCTCGCCACAACATGGCGCTCGGTGTGCCTCAGTTGTTCAGTGCCACACCCAGTCATCGACTGTGTGAGCTGAAGGTAAGACGATAGCGCCCTCGAACTTGACTGCTGGACACAATCGATCAGCGCACAGCATTATATTCGAAAGTGTCCTTTCATAGACTAAATACTGTTTTATAAATTGACGCTATTAATAATGAACGGCAGGTTTCTCTCTAGTTATTTTATTTTTGACGACTCCTGTCTCAGTACCCTTGTTGAGTCACTACATCACGCCAGTAAAGACGCATGTTTTTCGCTGAATAGTACATGTCAAACCTTGTGTACTAGGTAAGCGAACGCTGAATTTGCAGTTATGCATGCGCTGTGACTGTTCTGAATCTGACTGCAGCTTCTTTTTTGATTGCGCAACAGATCGATGCATTCATTGCCAGCCTCCCTTCCTCAGAAGTCCCTCGTGGTGAAGCAAACGCTGCACTGCGTCAGAAGCGCATTCGCCGTCAAATTCCTCCACAAGACAGAAAACCAGCTGCCTCTCTCAGCGCTGTGAAATTAAATTTGCCCCCTGACGCTGCCGCTGGAAATCTTGATGGTGAAATTCGAGAAGCTACGCGGTTTCAGAATTCGCGTAACCGTCGCGATTTCGGCCTCGGTCGTGTGGATCGCGTCACCGATAAAGCTGGATTGGTACTACCACTTTTCGATTCCTAGGCGTACATGTCTTTCTACATAAAACATCTGTGATGGTCTGGGAAGTGGTGCTTCAGGAGAAGTCCAACTTCAATAATTTTGTATAGGACTTTCGTCTGTATTACATGTTGACCTAAGATATAATCGTATTTTGTTTATCTCTGAGATAGTGATATATGACGGTTCTCATACAAGCTTCTATCCTTATCCAGCTTGCCCTAGTAGCAGACCATCACCCTGGTGTGCACACCCAACTGTAAAAAGTATGACTACTATTTTCAAATAAGTAACTATTTATATCAGCTTTATTTTGGACGGTGTCTTTAATGGCAGGTTGGTCTTTGTATGGACCTATCAGTCTAGTAGGACCCTTTAGTGATATTTTTTGGTGACCCATCAACTCATTACTCGCCCTAAGCCCTGCGCAGAATGCTCGGAGACTATCGGGTTCCGTGACTTCTGTGTCCGTGTTCGACCCGAACACCGTCCAGCCGAGGCTAACGACAGTGAACATGCACCTGCCTGGCATCCCGGCTGCTTCCGATGTTCCAACTGCACCGAGCATCTGGTTGACTTTGCATACGCCTGGCTGAACGGAAAACCCTACTGCCTTCGTCACTACGGTCAGATGATTCGCCCAAGATGCGCCACTTGCGATCACGTAAGTACGCGTTTTCTACAGTTGGTAACTCCTGATCCAGATTATTGCTGACATACTGCATAGCACCAACTATACGTTATTTTGCCTTTTAAAATTCTCTAGACTTCTCCAATGCCTACATTCCAAAGTTAGCCACAACCGCACATGTTTGGTTGGTTAGTGTTAGGGCGATCGCTGAGCCTTTTTCCGAGTTGTCGTCTTTTGGGGTTGTCAAAGTATATCCTGACGTATTCATGTGCTTTTTGTTTTCTAATTCACATTGCGTAATTCGTGTGCTTGCCTAGAACATGTGTTGTCGGCGGCCGGCTTCGTGTGAAACTCACTCGTGCATGTCGCACGCACTTGGTTAGCAGGACGTTATCACCGTAATGCTGCGCCATCGCCCGGTTAGCCAGTTAAAACGTAGAATAAATTGTGAACTGTCTGCTTGCGGAGCGCGCCCTCGGACGCTTAGTTTCGTGCGTGGGCGCATGCGTCTTTACGTCTACTAGCGAGAGCGGAGGCGTGCGCGCGCGTCTAGGAGAGGGGGAGGGGACACGGACAACGGTTAGGAGATTCACTGTTCAAAGCGCGCCAAATGGCCACGCGACTGCGCCAGATGCGTCAGTGTGTCCACACGGACAGTGGTGTCCCTCGGCAGGCAGCTCTGTGGTTAGTTAGTTCTAGCTGCCATCCGCCCACACACCTCTTCCAGCCATTGATTTTTACCTGCTGAACTTTGTCTCCACCTCATTGGGTAGTTCTGTCCGTCCAATTAGGATTTTCTGTACGCGCTCTTCGCCACCTGACACTCCCAGTCACGAAGCCAAAAGCACTAGTGGCCGTGGGTTTCAGCCCGATTTGACAAAAAACCAGGTAACATACGTTAGTTCACCGTATTTTTTGGTACCCGCTAGCACCAGACTGGATAGTAGTTACTATTTCGCATAAGATGGAAGGTGGTTGAGAACTTATTTGCAGTGTTTTTCTTGGGGGGATTTTTCTTCTGTTTCCTCTGAAAAAGTAGTCTTTTTGCTTTATTGTTTCTTCTGCACATTGAGAATTCCACTTGATTCACCCGTTGTAAGCTCCAAATTCCTAAATCTACGTGGGTGTTCACCTTGGAAACCGGTTTTCCAAAGATGTTATGGGGACATAGTTGATCAGGATTGCTGCTATTAGGTGGAGAAGCTTTAATGTGACTACATACATTTTTAGTAACCATCTAGTCATCGGTCTGTGCAACTCATGGTCTTTCATTCACCTGTTATAGCTAATATTTTCCGAGGAATATACACGTGCCATGGATCAGGAACACCACACCGGTCATTTCGCCTGTCGCAGTTGCGATGTCTCCCTGACAGGACAGCGTTACATATTACGTGATGAGGAGCCACACTGCCTCGCCTGCTACGAGGCCAAATATGCTAACACTTGTGAACAGTGCAAAGAGAAGATTGGTTGCGACTCCAAAGTGAGTAACTCTTGAGCAATCTATTTAGCTAATGCTTTAATGCGGGGCTGAGCTCCTATGGTAAAGTTTCTAGCCTTATTTCTGGCGTTTAAACTCATACTCTGCTTATCACTATGCCCATACAAGTGGGTTGCGATCATCTTCCTCCTCCGATGCCACTCTGTGCCCGCATGACTTCCGCTTACTCCCACAACTTACTTTGTCGTGAAAATTTTCAGTCCCCTCCGGTGAGTCTCCTGGAATTATAACCGGGTGCCTGTATGTGAGTCTCTGCGTGCCGCTTTGCATGCCGAATCTGAGTTCTCAGCATGTGGCCTAATATTAGACTAGCACTCAGTCAATCCCTAATTCGGTCTCTTGTAATTGATTGTTTGAGTGTGCTGTTTCATGTCGTAAACTGTGTACCTCCGTTCAAGCTGCAGTTTAAACCACACAGTAAATTACAACTAAACTCTATTCGCATTCCAGCCCATTGTTTTGCTGTCTATTTTCGCTGAAGCGAACCTTGTGGGCAGTTGTTAGTACATGAAGAAGAAGACACGATCGCCGGGACAAGCCTGACGTTTCGGATTCCTGCTCGAATCCATCATCAGAGACAAAAGCAGAAAGGGTAGGACTCGTTTCTTCGCTTCTATTGGCAGTTGTTAGTACTCCCGTGTCGCCCCTCCCTGGCGAACCGGTATCAATTCCAAACAGTCGTCACTGAAAAGGTGCTGAGCCAATGTACATAAGCTGTTTTTTTTGTTGCAAAAGAATACTATGCGCCACCACCGCATGTAGCGGATCTCTTGCGTCACAACCACTAGTTAGCTGCATGCCTACCGGCATCTGTAGTATTAGAGCGATTATATACGGAGAAGGACGAATTGTCATGGTCGTGGAACCAGGCTGAGTTTGTATTCTCTCATAATGATTCCGGCATGTTGAGGGCTTAGTTGTGTCTAGCATTCTCAGTCCGCATTTCGATGTCTTCAGGCAGGTATGCGAACACATTGTGTCGACCGTTCAAAACAACCTGTTTTTGTTCTTGATTGTCCTTGTATGGCCGCGTATGCTGTTGTCTATACGGGTTTAAAAAGTATGCAATGAATTGCGTCTACTGACATAGACGCTGTGGTCGTGCGAAATAAACCACCCAGTCTTTTTTTAGGGGAGGCCTCACACCCTGCCAGATATTCGCATTTTGTCTTTGGTCGTATTTCTGCGTTTTTGTTGTCCCTGTCGTTCACTCTCATCCGTCACCTGAGCTCTGCCATTCTATATAACCGTTCAAATTTGCATTCCCTCTCACGCGAAGTACAATTCTAGTTTCATTCGCCAGTGTTAACTCCAATGCGTGCTAGTGTCGATGCACTTATTAGATTCTTTGTCTCCCTCCTCGCCCAAATCTGTTTGCAGGACCTCTCCTTTAAGGAGCGCCACTGGCACGAGAAGTGCTTCAAATGCTCCACTTGCTTCACCTCTCTCGCTGATCGGCCTTTTGCGACCAAGGAAGACCAGCTTTACTGCTCTGACTGTTACGATGAACGCTTCGCCGCCCGTTGTGATGGCTGCCAGGGTGTCTTCAAGGCTGGTATGCGGAAATACGAGTACAGAGGGCAACAGTGGCACGAGGAGTGCTTCGTCTGCGTCGAGTGCAAGCAACCCATCGGCGCCAAGAGTTTTATTCCACGCGAGAATCAAGTGGTTTGCGTTCCCTGCTACGAAGCCAAATACGCTCAGCGATGTACAAAGTGTACAGAGGTTAGATGCTTCTCACCGTTCTTTGATACCTCACAGGTTTGGTCGCCATTTAAACGGGAACTGATTTTAATCCATAAACACTAATTTTGAATGAGTAGTCGATAGTTTCTCACTAGGCCGTCCAATATCTACCTGTGATCGCAGTATGACTTACACTGTCACTGATAACAGCGGAATGCGAGTTTTTGAAGATCTAGAATTTTATAAAAAAATAAATTTGTCGCAACTTGGTTCCAGATTTTTATGTTAATTTTTACCCTTTCCCTTTAACTTGTAAGCTGGACATTTTTTAGGTCATTCGCCGTGGCGGCGTTACCTACAAGGGCAATCCGTGGCACAAAGAATGCTTCACCTGCACTAGCTGTGGAAAGCAACTGGCTGGCCTTAAATTCACCTCTAAGGATGAACAACCTTACTGCGCTGACTGTTATGGTGAACTCTTTGCTAAGAAGTGCACCAAGTGTTCGAAGCCCATTACTGGTAAGTTACGCCTTTGACCATCTACTTCACCCTCAACACTCCCCCATGGTTACTAGCTCATGGTAGAATAGCCTAACGACATTTTTTAGAAACTGCAGATAATTAGAATCAAATCGATATCCAAGCAGCCCCTCTCGCTTCGAGCATTTGCCTTGTCATGCTTAAAAAAACTTAACTCCTCAAGTCCCAGAACTGGATCTAAGCTGACTTGACCTCAGTCGCCCAAATATCTTGCATTGACACGAAGTGCACAAGTCGTTAATCCCTCGCATTCCTTTGCAAATAATTGCTCTACTTTACCAGTTTAAATCGTCCATGAAATTTCGTAAAGAAGCTTCGACGAAATTCCCTTAACTACTGTTTGTCCTTCGGCTTCCTGACGAATCTCCAGTGTTCTCCCTCGAGTTTGATAATATTGGCTTTTTACAAAGGGACGTAGATCCTTTGTTGCATACATCGTAGTGCTTGAATCTCACTCCTCTATTCCCCATCCTAGTTCGGCTACACCGCGGTGGCTGATAGTGTTTCTATCTTAATTGTAGGCTTCGGCGGCTGCAAATTCATTTCGTTTGAGGATCGGCATTGGCATTCTGAGTGCTTTGCCTGCAGTAAATGCAACTGCAACCTCGTCGGACGAGGCTTTTTGACTAATGAGGACCAGATTATGTGCTCCGATTGCGGTCGATAAAAGAGACAATCTCGACTCCGCCTCTACTCCTACGGCTGTCGCGCTATCGACACCTCTTGCTGGACACACGTGCGCGCGTCCGCCTTTTCTTTTGTGATCGCGTTCTGCTCGAATGCGCTCCTATCGCTACTCCAACTACCGTACTGTGCTTCTGTCACAACGCCTGTTGCCGCTGAACATGTTTTAATTTTTTCGTGTCGGGATGTCCTAGTTCTCCTCAACGAGGAGATTGGCTGCGCACGCCTTCATAACCAGCTTGCCTCTCGCGTAAACCGACAAAGCAGGTAGAAGCAACTGCCGCTGTGGTCCGTCAGTAGGGACGGACCTCCAACTCTGCTGCCCGTTCTTCCCCTTCCCCTGCCCCCCTCTTCAACCTAGCCTAGCATTTTCAGTCCCGGCCTTCATAAGACCCCAACGTCAGGCTTGCATTTTTTTTCGACCTTAGTGTGAAAAAGTCCACATTATACCTTTTATTTCACCCCTCTACAAGCCTTATAATTCGAAAACTTTTCGTCTTCCAAGTCATGTAAATGTGTAGTGGTGCGTGCATGCGTAGTAAATGCTACTACAGCAAACTTTATCACTTTTGCTACCAACCAGCGACGATTAGGGGGCCTTGTTGTTCACGATTGACGTAGGATGGGAATGATCTAGTTCTCACTAAGATGTCGGGTGTACGCTAAGACACTGGACATAGTTTGCTTGTACCAACGATATCGCTCCTCCAAGTTCAAGCTGTGTTAAGGTAGTGTACTGGGCGAACGCGTCCAACGAATTCGTCGGTTTAACCGTAAGCCACGCGCAGAACAAAATGACCTAGGCTGAATTTCTCTGCGGAGAGCAGCCCGCGTGATTATTGCCAGCTCGAAGGAGTGGAGAATTTCAGCTACATCAGGATCAATCACTGCTCAATGGGTACGGAGCAGGCTGCGTTGCCCGGATTGATGTTGCTATTGGTGTTTTTGCAAGTCTCGGAATCAATACAGGGAACCGCTGCGATATGTTAGTCGTTTCAGACGTCCACGTGCATCAGTGTATTCGTAGGGAGCGGAGGACTCAAATTTGCCAAGATGCACGGAATTTCTTCCGCAGTCTTCAGCGCGGTCTGGCGGGCTAGTTGATCGACAGAGAAGTTAAGACGTGCACGCGACTGTTTGTACCATTTTCCTCCCATCGATCCCCGTTTGCTCGTGCCAGAAACGCGCAATTCGGCGTCTGTTGGCGGCATTCCATCGGAACTGCCTAAGTGTTTCGATTTCCCAGCTTTTAACGACAGAATTTAAACATATACAGTGCTGGAACCGACTTATGCTGACTGCTCGCGGTCGGGGGTGTGGTGCATGATTTAGATTTCAGGTGTGGCGGTGCGCCTTCATTCTTGTGTCACTGAATGGTCGAGTTTCGTCCTTAATCTAAATGTGGTTGAAATCACGGCTTCTGGTGGGGCCTCGTAGCTCAGACGGCTACACCCTTGGCTGCACTTAAGCCTTGCCCTTGCTGTCGTAATTTCGAATCCCACGGGGGTTGCCGAGTTTCCCATAGCTGGGTCAACGAAAGGTACCCTTGGGAACGACGACCCAGACATTTAGAGGTAACTAACTTGGGACTGTTAACTGTATCTGGGGGCTGTCATCGATCTGAAGGGTTACACTAGATGCAGTTCGTCTGCGAGCTTTGCTTAGTGTTGAGCACTGTCTCAACAAAAAAGAAATAGACTAACTGGCTCTTTCAGTACGCCCTGAAACAGTCCAAATGGGCTACGTCAAGGCCTCTATTATGAAAGCTGGGGTCCGTTTTCAAACAATTAACATGTCAAAACAGTTAGAGGGTTAAATTTGTATTCGGCCACTGGGTCCTGTTTTCTTTCCGGTCGTCCTTTGGTCTTGCTACAGCAAATACACCTGAATTGGGAGTGTGGAGCGGATGTTACGCACGTCTTCTTCACTACAAGTCATGTCACCACTCATATGCCTTCAATTATGCAATGCTTGTCCTCGTCCTCGATTTTGTCGTCAGAGAGACCGTTCACACGTTACGTCGCTACTGGGAGATATTGTCAAACTAGCTGAAGAAGACCGCTGAGGTGGTTTGGGTGCAGTCTCCGTCATTCATCCGATAAATTTGATGTCATTTACCTACTTCGAAGTTCTCAGTCGCTACAAGTGACTCAGAAACGGTCAGCCGAAATCTCGGGGGGGGGGGTCTTAGGATGCGTCCTGTCCCTCGGTTATTCTCTTTTCGTCATTTTACATGAGCAGACAGCGATGAATTTTACTTTATTTGGTTGAAAGTGGTGGTATGTGCAACACAGACTCCACTTATTTATCGCACACCCATTGAACCGAGCTATGCCAGGGTGACTGGGTGTGGGCGAGGGCCGAGGGGTTTGACGCATTTGTTTACGCACACCATACACCTGTTGGAATGGTATTGCCGACAAAGACAGGGGATACTGGAATGGCCATTTCTGGCTCATTAGCCGTCCTCAGCCAGTCATACCCAATCTCGAAGTGTGAAATACCAGGGGCTTGATTCAGCGACATGTCAGTTTGAATTCTAACGCCTCTATCCAATGAGTCGCGGGCTCGTTTTCCTGTCGGTTTCGATCGGGAATCTACAATGGTAGAGGGCGCTCACCGATCGTTCTTACGGAACTCACTCGTTCCGCTGTGCCTTAGAGCTCTCGCGGGCCCAACCAGCAGCCTCACAGCGGTGTATGATATAGGCAGAATGGCTTTACCGACAAAGACGAGGGAGACTGGAATGGCCATTTCTGGGTCATTGGCCGTCGTCAACCGCTCATACTCAACTCCGAGGTGTGGAACATCTGGGACTCGAGAGGCTCAGCGGGACGAGTGAGTTCCGTAAAAACGATCCGTGAGCGTCTTTCCACCACAAACTTGCTGGCCAATGTGGTGGGGACTCCACCAGGATCACGCTTATCCGCTTGGCTGTTGGTCCTTTGCGGGTCTTTCGGAACGCCATTACGCCTCTGTGGATGCAAACTCTCGAGCAGTAACAAAATGACACCAACGCATGCAGTGGAGGGGACAGAACACGGGACTGAACAACCAGCCGGCGAACACCATAGCCATTCTAGTTCAGCTAAGCACCGAGTTGTACTAAATATGCTTCTGTGGAGTGATCACTTGAAAGTACAGTAGGTGGCCTACCTCATGAAATGTCAACCGAAATTCCGAAATGCGTTTTCCTTTCAAAAAGATTAATTAAGTAGGGTTGTAAAACTAGTCAGTCGGCAACATAATTCTATGATATTTCAGTTACCTCAGGATGCCGGCTTTCGAATGAACTTCCTTCCGGCTGCATGCAAAGACTGTATTCTGTAAAAAAATGATTAGTTATGTAGCACGAATATTCCTCGTTGATTTTCGATGCCCCTTAATGTCCAATTATATTTCATGGAAAAAATGCATAAAAATATTCATTCTTTTGCTCATTCGGTAGAAAATTGCGTCCTCTTCTTATTCTTATTTTTTACTCGATGGAGGGACATAATAAGGTTTTAACAAAGTTTCTAATTACGGATTTTTTAATACCGTGAAATGGCCGTTCATAAATCGTCATTTCTCTGCATTTACCAGTATGGCTTATAAAGTTAACAATATGGATCAACTCCAATGGTAAATTTTATGAACCCCATATGGTCTCCCTTTATTACCGTAGAGAAATGTGCGGTTTTCCTTGTGCGGAAAATATACGACTTGTAGTTTGGAAATCCTGAATCCAAGTGTAACGGTAGAGGTGGTTTAAAATTATTCGGGAATTGAAAACGTTTGTGAAAATCGAATTATATCCTTTTTCCAGTATAAGATTGGATGAAGACGTAATTTTCTACCGAATGAACAAAAGAATAAATAGTGTACCCATGTTTTCCATGCAATATGATTGGACATTTAGGAACATCGAAAATCAATTAGAAAAATTCATGCTACGTAAGTAGTCATTTTTTACAAAGTATGGTTTTTTGCATGCAGCCGGAAGGAATTTCATTCGAAAGCCGGTATCCTGAGGTAAGTGAAATTTTATAGAATTATGTTGCAGGCTGACTAGTTTTACAACCCCACTTAATTAATCTTTTCGAAAGGAAGACGCATTTCGGAATTTCGGTTGACATTTCATGAGCTAGCTCACCTACTGTATTGCCCTCGGTGCCGCCTTAACTCCATCGAAATGTTTCCTTATGTAAAAGTTGGATGAGTTCGATCGTCAGAAGTCACACAATTAACCTCCACGAACAAATAGATTGGGACGAGCTATAAGTGTGGTAGTACACAACCTACGTAGGGAGACTCAAAAGTCTGAAGCGAGTCCATCAGTCTCGTCATTGGAGGAATATCCTTTGGTCAGGTTACGGGACAGGCTCACTCTGTTGTGCGCTGGAGCTCAATCTACAGTCCTCGAAGGCAGCCGAATGGCGACGAGTAATGGCAGTTAATATTTTTGATCGCAAGCGACAAAACAATAGGCCCGTTGAGTCAGTGATTTTTAGGATTAACTGAATACTGGATGTCTAGCAGGTTACAGGTTCGCATTCCGAATCCAAGATATGATAGGGCTGGCTGACGACGGCCAACAAGTAAAGCATAGACATGCCGGTCTCTCATATCATCGTTGGCATTCGGTTTAAATCATATTTTATCTTCACAAACTGCAGACGCCGTGAAACACATTGTTTGAAGGAGAATGGTGTATGCCACAAAGGGGCTTGCTAACGTCCCGGCTTTACGAATATTGCCAAGTCAGTTTACTAACTCCTAACGCTTTAAATAGTGCACCGATTTGTCCCTTATAAAGTAACTGAGGATTGATCCATGACAAAAAATCAAGAACCTGTGTTGGATGTAACAGCTGGTATGGGTTAGGAGAGGTATACACTTGCCACTTTTAAGTACTGAGTTCTGACTGGTTTCTTGTGGCCCTACTTATTGAGGTGTTGTTAATGCATCCCGAAGTAGTGTTATTGAATGACTTCGACCTAGGGGAGGAGGGCGTGGGGCATATCGTGCCTGCGAATATAAAGAAAGTGAAAAAGCTAGTGTGGCGTGGTTCATGTGACTGTCAGAGACCGTGACACGTTGAGACCTGCTCGCTGCTGATGGTGTGACACAGACGTCAATTTGTCATGGAGCAAATCATAGCTGGATGACTCTAGTGCGGTGAAAGGACAGACCAGGAAAATAATGGAAGAAGCCGTGATCTAGAACAGCTAATGGAATTACCACTTCTCTCCTAATTTGCCTTTCAGACAGCCATACCCTAAAGACAAGTTTGAAGGGGCTCGGAGTTCGAATCCAAGATTTTTTCTCTTGTTCACCAGAGTGTGCCGTTTCCAGGTGGCAGATTGTCTATATTTCCGTCAAAAAATGACAGTTATTATTAGGGAACACTGTGCTATGTTCTTGCCGTAACACCTAGCTGATAGTCCGTTCTACAACTCTCCGCGATCGAATTCCCAAATGGGAACTCAACAGGAAGCACGGAAGAACAGGAAGTCAACTGCTGAGTCCTAACAGTGAAAATATGGCGATAAAAGGTACATAGAGAAATGCCTAAGATCGGCTTGAAATTGAGCCAATCAAAACACCCCCTTGGGCTGTTAGCATGTCAACTGCACTTCTGACTCATTTGAGTGCCTGGGCACCTCTCCAATTCTGCCAGTGGCCGGGGTGATACCAACAGGCGCACGCATTCTGGGAGGGGCGATGGGACGGCGTCTGAGCGCGTCGTTAGGGTTGCGACTCTGTGATAACTACAGAGGCATCTCCCTCCTCAATATTGCGAGGAAGATTTGCGTTCGCATTCTCAACCGTCCCAGCAACCATCTCAAACAGGGATTACTGCCGGAAATTCAGCATGGATGCCGACACCATCGTGGTACCACCGACATGGCCTTCACCCACCGCCAGCTGCAAGAAAGGAGCCAGGAGATGAATAAATAATTTTTACTAAAGACCCTTCGTGGGTTTGGCAAAAGTCTTTGACACGGCGATGGGCTAGTGAGAATCATGCAAAATTCCGGCTGCCCTAAGCGATTACTGCAAATGGCACGTCGGCTCCACGGCAGGAGGATGGCGCACGTCACGGGCAGCGGGACTGTCTCAGAAGCATTTTCAATAACCAACGGAGTGAAGCAGTACTGCTTGCTTGCCCTAACCCTCTTCAGCCTCATGTTTTCTGCCATGCCGGTGGACGCTTGCCGTGATGAGAGCCCCGGGATCCGCATCGCCTACGGGAGCGACGGCCATCTTCTTAAAAGCCGGCGCATGCAGCCTTTAACGTGTCTTTCCACGACCTGCTCTTCGTTGACGTCAGCGCACTCAATACCGAGATAGAAGCTGATATCCAAAAGAGCATGGATCTGTTCGCCGTCGGGTGCACCAACTTCGGACCAACGATCAACGCAGACAAAACGGTGGTCATGCACCAACCGCCATACAACACGGAATACGACACTCATCGAATCAATGTGTACGGTAACCAACTTAAAAATGTGGACAGTTTCGCTTATCTAGGAAAGTCATTCTCACACGGAACAATAATGGACGATGAGGTTGTTCACTGAATTTCCAAAGCCGGCCAGGTCTTTGGTCGTCTACAAGCCTCCACGTGGAATCGCCACGGTCCGGAACTGGACACCAAGCTGAAGATGTATAAAGCTTTCACTCTGGCGACACTGCTATACGGAGTGGAGTCCAAAACAGTCTACAGAAGGCAAGCGCAGTGGCTGAATTACTTCCACCCCCGGTTGTCCGCGAAGTATGCCAAACTCGAGGTGGCAGGAGAGGATCTCAGACACGGAAGTCCTCAAACGAACCGAAATCCTCAATTTCCACGTCATGGTGAGACAATTGTAACTGCAATGGAGCGGCCACCTGGTCAGAATGGACAACGTCGGGGGTACTCGCCGACAAGCAGATCAAATCCGCCGTTATAAGGACGCCTTGAAGAACTTCTTGAAGCGACTGCAGATCGACCGGCAAGGACCTCTTCCGGGAAAGACCGGCTTGGGCATAATAAGTGAAGAGTAGAGCAGTCATCTGTGAAGCCAACCCGGTCGTCGCTGCCAAAGCCAAGACGGAAGCTTGCAAGTCTCCGGCGCTCCTGACCCGTAAAACAAGCGTCTAACCCCTCTCAAAATGCCTACGATGTCAGCGAACATTCCATGCGCGGATTGGCCTCGTCGGACACCTCCGGAGCCAGCACACCGACCACCCGACAACCCCAAATCCTGTCTCCGCGTCCACCTCTGTTCAAACTACCATGGCGTCCACAATGGCTCATACCCTCATCACCGCCGCTCCTAATCCCCGTGCCCTGTCCCCGTCGATTGCTGTCACCTCTATCATCTCTGCCGAAACCTCCGTGGCGGCGGTGACCACTTCTACCATCTCTGCTGTCGACCGAAACGCTCCCGAGGCCCTCTTAACCACCACCCTCATCATCACAGCCCTCACCTCCAAGGATGTGGACTCGGTCCCAACCTGCCCCCATTGCATTTGCACTTTCCTATCACACATCAGTCTAAGTGAAGAAGAAGAGTCGAGCACCGGAACAATTCGTTTATTATCCTGAGCTTTCAGACTCGTACAGGAGTCCATCGTCAGAGGTAGTGGCAGAAAAAGGATAGGCGACAGTTATAAGGCATGTAGGCCCAATCATCGACCGACGTCGCACGACTGGAGGTGACTACGAAGGGCTCTGTACGCCGGCGCCAAATCGATAAATCGATAGACCGAGTTCTCATCCGAGGCCCAGGCTTCAATCAATTCTCGGCCTGTCAGTCTGATCGATCACTTGCGAGTCTATCGCACAGAGGCTGACGAACTTGTGATTGGAACGCCAGTATATTCTAAAAACCATCGCCTCAACTGTCCACGCAAATTCATTCACGACATGAGCCTACTAGGTGACATGCTTCTCAATGGAAGCCTGCGGTAGATCAACGATGGCAAGACCATACCATCACATCTCTCCTAACCAGCACCTACATTACACATGACCAAACCCAACATCACTCAGCGCAAGCACGTCATTTGCACCTCGTGGGGGTGTGTTCCTCGACTTCTTCCCCGTGTAGCTCTTCCGCTGCATTTGTTATCCTACCCTGAGACCATCGCTTTGCGCTAAGCGTCGTGGCTTGGAAGTTTGCGAACTGACGATGGAGCTCAGATCTCGCAGTCGGTTCAGTGTGTGTGCTTGTACAAAGTGGCCGATTGGTGTACTGAGAGTCAGGCTGCAATGGCTCCCTCGTAACATGACTTATGGCACGCTCACGCATGTGAAATGCCTGCTGCCCACCCCTTTTTGTGTGAAATTCCGGCAATTTCTTTGGGAGGGCATGTCACGTCTGTGGCATGCGCAGACGAGGTCACTCGCTATGCCAGCTACTGCGCCCATCCCCGGCGCCAGACAACTGACCGCACGGGGCTCTGTCCGGGGCCTGGGAATGGGAATAGAGAGTGAGGTCGGCGACTTAGCGCCTTTTCCTCATTATAAACAATCTGACGTGTTCGTAGCCGTAACGATGTGCTAAAAGCCGTGGCTTAAAAGACTGCCAACTGACGGAATAACTCGGACCTCGTAGTCAGCCCAATGTGTGGTTTTGTGGAGTGGCGGGCTGAGAGTCAGGCTGCGATGGCTGCTTCTTAATGCGACCTCTATGGCACTCCCATCTAGTTGGATCCGAGCCGCCCCAATCGTGTGTTGTGGACCAGGGGTGTGGTGGTACACCTAGATGCGGGTTCTCGCCGTGCCAACCACCTGCGTCCTCTACAGCCTCGAGTGTTCTTGACTCCATCTTGATACCGCGCCTAGATTAGGCAGGAGGAGAGAGTGTGGTAGATGCTGCGGAGGTCTACTCTCAATACAAACGAGTTCACGCGCAATTTTTTTCGGCGTCAAGCTGTCGCCAGGTCGTGATGTCGAGTCTCGCCTGGCGTAGGTATTTAATTGACAAGATTAATCGGGAGGATCAAAAGTGACGCGGATTAACGAACAGGCTCGCTAGGGAGGTTCTGGACTGGCGCAGTACCCTCCATAGAGGCATGGAGGAACACAGAGCAAAAAGGAAGGTGAGGGGAACGAGGACAGGTCTCACCATGCTGTGGAGCACATGGTGAATATCGTCGAAACCGACGGTATGACTCTCATCAGGGTGGCGTGCAAAAGAGTTGGTTAGGATGGTTTTTCCTAACAGGCTGGCACATACCCTACTACTGTGCGACGTGTTCACGTTATTTTCGGACTATTTTAAGTGATTTGAGAGCGGTTTCCACTGCCTACCTGTCCTGAACGCTTCGTTGCCCTTTCAAGTTCTAGTTATGAGCTCGCATGAATGACCGTTAATACTTTTAAGTTGTTGATTGCTTTTTGCGGTGCGATCGCCTGCTCGGGTTAGCGGTTCGCAGATTCAAGAGCAAAAGTGCATGATGTTCAGATTGATTCCGCGGTCAAGGTAAATCTGTGAACACCAGCCGCGAATGGCTGAATATGTCATCCGATCGAATTTTAAATAGTCTCAGGCATAACTGAAAGCACATGGGTCCGTAGACCAACTGGTGGAGTATTAGCTCAAAAACGACCTGTGATTACCCGACCTGGCTTCAGCTATCCGGCGCCCACACCTGGATTTGGGTTATGGCCAACCACTGACGGCGGAAAGACCAGCAGACCTGTCGTCGCGTCCCACGGGCGCCTCACTCATCCCATTCCCCCGTAGTAGCCACAAATCTGCAGCATCATCAATAATGCCAACTCAGTTAGGCTTGCCACCACGTGACTTTGATCTCACCTGATAAGGCCTGAGAACTTGGCTGCGATGGTTCATCTTAATAGTCACGAAGACTGGGATTCAAATCTCATTCCTCGCCTGGTTGAAACTGTAATACGATTGATGGACAGCAATAAATGACGGCTCAGGTCTCCGGCGTCCTTGTCAGCGGTACGGGAGGTCGTAAAAGGCTGCGTGTTGGTATCACATCGGGGTTCTCAGCGTCGCGTCAGCTTTGGCCGTCGGTAGACCCTAACTATTACGACCACCAAGTCAAGTTCCGAGTGGAAAGAGGAGAAGCTTGATGCCGTCAGAGAGGAAGAGAGAGAGAGAGAGAGTGTCATATTCTTTACATAATATTTTAGGAATAAGTTGAGCATGTTGGTAGTCGGTTGTTGCGCGTTCGGTTCGGCATTGTAGGTCAATGATCGTTAGCCACACGGTAAGTCAGCTGCAAAAAATAGCCACATGATGCTCGTGCAGGCTAGTAGTCCGGAGTCTGAACGCGCCTAGCAAAATATCCTTGACAGCTCCAAGCAAGATGATAGGACCCTTGGCGTCCCACTTGACCAACTACACCAAAGAGCGCAGAATTTGAAGAGAGGTGTATGGAGTTTGCACAATCCGAAAGAAAGTGCGAAAAGTATATAGTTCATCAAAATATCAAAAGTTTGCATATGCAGACCTGTTTTTACGCAATGTTGAAGGATGCATCGGAAGACGGACCACGGCAACAGAAGCCCGTCGACCATACTCTATTCATTGTTTTATAATGACAAAGATGTCGCCGACGTCTCGAAAAGTCACGTGCAAGCCATCTTGCTTTTACTTTAGTATTCTCCTGGTAATATTTAATGAAAGGATATTGGGGAAACCCCCAGGGTTTGTTTGTTGGGGGGGGGGGAGGGGGGTGGGATATGAGTAATCAGTAGAGTCCTTCGTCCGGCAAACGTTATGAGATTTTTGTGACTAAAGGTGCTGGAATTAAGAGGACGCACTTGCGGGACCGCTCATATGACTTTCACACAAAGGAACTGGTTAAAACCGTCAAAAGTCCACTAGCTGGTCGGCTGACAAGGCCGGAAGAAGGAAGGAAGGAATCTAGGCTATGTATATGCCGAGATGGAGATCTATCTCGAAAAACTGACAGGACTTTTCAACTTGATCCCCACTGTCCCCATCACCGATACAAGATTACCACTTGCTGATGCGCCAAGGCGTTTCGTTGTCTCCATCCTGGAAAATCGCAGTGGATAGTCCTTCCCTCTGACGGCGTCAGGACCAGTACGTCACAGGCCATCTTGTTGTGCCTTTCAGTGATGAATATAGCAAAAACATACTTCAGTCGCAGGATACCTTTCTGTCAGAAAACGTTCAAAGAAGGGGCAAAAATAACGTAAAAGACAAGATTGGGTGTTTAATTGCAGACGACTAGCTATAAATCATTGCCTTCGATCATGGATACTTCAGACTATCTGGCTGGGCATGACGGAGTAATCACTTTAAAAATATTTCAATCTGTCCACAAGTGCCAGACGAACCCTTAAGAGCGTAGACTTTTGAACAACCACCCAGGGGGATTACAGACCATAGCCTCACCTTAACCTGACCTGATGGATTTCCATTGTGCCACAGGAAGGGCGTTCACCGATTAGGTAACGGGACACGCCGCTCTGCAGCACAGTCGCACAGTCCTACTTTAGTCGTAGGACGTCAAGCTTGACGTTCAGTGACCAGATGGCTTCACTTTCAAAACGCAAGTTATCCAAGCCTGGGGTTGGGTAAAGCCGACTGACGACAGCTAACAAGCCGGAAGTGGCCGTCTTAGTTTCCCTCGTCTTTGATGCCTCCCCCACAACTCTTCCGTCTATGAAGTCTTTACCATAATGACAGAGCAGAACGCGGTACATGGGTCTTTTATTGTTTAAGTCGAACCGAGACGAAAGCGAGCATGAGGCCTTCGGACAACGGTAGTGACGATAAAAATAGACGACTAGGCAAAAACGCAACATCACGGCCGCAGCTTTTGACGTCCCCTGAGAAGTCGGCCCAAACGGCTGGCGCGGATGGTGTCAAACAGCAATCACCAATATATTTGCCTCTTGTCGTCCGTCCATTCCCATGAATTTAGTTATCCTGTTAAGCCTTTAATTCCCTTGTAGAGTTTACAATACCATACCTTGCCTTCTGGGATCTTAAATGTCATATCTCATAAATACATAGCGTAGAATACATCTTTATGCGCAAACGATCGAAAGCACTGAAAACCGTAAGGTACAGTAGATGTGCTAACTCATGAAAAGTCAACGAAAATTTCGAAATGCGTTCTCTTTTCGAAAAGATAAATTAAGTAGTGTTGTAAAACTAACCTTGATGCAGCATAAATCTATAATGATCCACTTACCTCAGAGTGTCGCCTTTCGAAGGAACTTATTTTCGGCTGCATGCAAGATCTATACTCTGCAAAAAATGACATCTTCAGTAGTATGCAATTTTCTCATTGATTTTCAATGCCGTTGAAAATTCAATTATATTTCATGGAAAACAGGCATAAAATAGTCATTCTTTTACTTATTCGATAGAAAATCACGTCTTCTTCTAATTTCATACTCAAAATAAGAGTATAATTCGGTTTTTAAAAAACTTTTCTAATTCCGAATAATTTTGAACACGACCTGCTGCCACACTTGCATTCAGGGTTTCAAATCTACAAGCTGTATATTTTCCGTGTACGGAAAACCATGCATTTCTCTACGGTGTTAAGAGGAGACCATATTAGGTTCATAAGATTAAGCAGTGGATT